AAAAATCTAGAAAAAGCAAAACTACAGTTACAGAAAAGCAGACCAATGACTGCCTGGCATTGAGCTGAGGAGAGGACAGATTACAAAAGAGAACAAGGAAGCTTTACGAGGGTGATAAAAATGTTCTATATTGTGGTTGTAGCAGTAGTTATACCTCTGTGTGCAATTACAAAAATTCATCAAACTGTACACTTAAAATGGATAAATTTTATTTCATGTAAAATACAGCTCAATAAAGCTGGAGGGAAATGCAAAACTATGAATAAGGGTACTTACAGGTCTCGCTTATTAAAGCAGAACAACACTCCCAGAAGAGTTGTCAATAGGAATGCTAAGCAAACAGGCACGACTATGGCTTCAATTTCTCCTTGAGCTAAAAACAACAAAAAAAAAGGTGTGATAAGAAATAATTGTTGACACATGCACTCAGGAGATATAATACAATTTCTCAGCCAGGCTTACTGTTGAAAAGATTAAATACAATCCCCCTTTTTTTTTTTTTAAAGTCTTTTCAGACTTTGTTTTTTTACCCTCCTCTCTCCTTGGTGTAAATCACATCCCAACCATTTATGTCTTAGGCAGTAATCTGGCCACACGGCATAAAATATAAGTTGGTTGGGGGATAAGAATGATCAGTGATTTGGGTATTAGAGCTTTCAAACATAACCGTTTATAACATTTATGATCCGCATTCAGTATAATCTTAGTAAAAGTTTATCTCTGAGTTCTAGTACTATATAAGAGAGAAATTATGTCAGAAAAAATTAATACTGGGTGTAAAATGGAAAAGCTATAAAAATATAATTGAACTATAAATTTAACCCTCTAAAAGAAATAAAAATGCAACTCTCAGAATTTTAAAGAGTTATCATTTTCCAAAAAGATGATATATCTGATACAGGGCTAAGAAATTTAGGAGATGCTCAATGGGCACAAGGAGCAACACAAGTAGGAATAAACTAAAAAGTAACCAAGCCTAAGATTTCTAAATACCACGCAAATCCTCATCTGCATTTAAAAGAGGACTTGTTCATCAAATGAATCACTAATTGGGATAATATTGGAGATTTTTTAAATCTCCAATATTAATGTTTAAAACAAACTTTCCTGATGGTTGTTTCTGGTTAATTTTGAATTTTAATTAGTCTTTTAAAGGAAAAACGTATGAAAGTAATATTGCAGCCATATACTACTCAATTTTATCCTTCCACCACACACATCCCTTTGTAACTACCATCCTATGAAACTCAGTAGAAATCAAGAATTCAGATAAAGGCTTGAGAATAAACTATGGGTTGGCAAATATTCTTAAATACTAAGCATCATATGTATGTGTGTACGTGTGTATATACATGTATTTATGTGTGTATATATATTGATATGTGTATGTATGTGTGTATATATATAAAATGCCAAATCTAATTTAGGCAGAAACTTTATTAACAGCTACTTTTATGTTTTCAAGCCTGGGCCTTTGCTCATGCTGCTCTCTAAGGTGCCACCATCTTCCTATTTGTCCACATCTTAACTCAAGGCTCAAGTATTATCCCCACAAAACCTCCTTTGAAGGTAAAATTACTCACTACTGATACATTTAAATTCCTCCTCTATTTACTGTCTACCTACTCCACTGGTTCCTTTTTTGATTTACTTAGGCAAAATTTCTTCAACAGAGCTATAAGGTCCTTGTTGGCAAGACTCATGCCATGTCAAGAAGCCATAATGGATTCATGAGACTATAGAGAACTGAAAAAAAGGTTATGAAGTAATACTAATAATTTTTTTTTTAAAAAAGACATACAGAAAAAAGACTAAAAGGATATATACACAAATATATTTGAGGAAAGGATTAGGACTCATTTTTCTTCCTCTCTATATTTTACTGTGCAGTCTAAATTCTCTGTAACAAACACTTTTATATTTAAAAAATTTTAGGCTGAGCCTGGTGGCTCATGCCTGTAATCCAGCACTCTGGGGAGCTAAGGCAGGAGGACTGAAGCCAGGAGTTCAAAACCAGCCTGGGCAACATAGTGAGATTCCCATCTCTACCAAAAAAAATTTTAAACTAGCTGGGCATGGTGGACCTACCAGTAGTCCTAGCTACTTGGGAACCTGATGCAGTACTGCTCAAGCCCAGGAATTTGAGGTTACAGTGAGCTATGACTGTACCACTGCACTTCAGCCTGGGAGACAGAGCAAGACTCTGTCTCAAAATCAAAAAACTTATATGGGTTTATATGTGTGCATGTATGGATACACATAGAGCTCTGTAGCTGGTCTCCACAGAAATATATATACGCTTTTAAAGTTTATTTTGAGACGGAGTCTCGCTCTGTCACCCAGGCTGGAGTGCAGTGGCACAATCTCGGCTCACTGCAACCTCCATCTCCCACATTCAAGCAATTCTCCTGGCTTGGCCTCCTGAGTAGCTGGGATTACAGGTGCCCGCCACCATGCCTGGCTAATTGTTGTATTTTTATTAGAGATAGGGTTTCACCATGTTGGCCAGGGTGGTCTCGAACTCCTGACCTCGTGATCTGCCTGCCTCAGCCTCCCAAAGTGTTGGGATTACAGGCATGGGCACACCCGGCCCTTTATTTTTTAATTTTTCTCAAGATTATGGTATAAAGTTTTATTTCAAATAATGTTAAATATACATTAACATGCCACCACATGGGACAAACCCTGTTGCAGTAACTACATTCATTACTGGCCCTAACAACAAAGCTCAGGATCGTTTATAATTTATGACTCATTCATTTTCCTCAATCAGCAACCAACAAGGCACATGGAACTTACTACTTATAATTCACTAGGGGTTGGCACTTGGAGGTGGGGGTTACAATTATGGCAAAATAAGGTAATTTTCTATAATGATTCAAAATGCAGTGGGAACAAGAAAGAATGATAACAGCCAGATAACTAGGTGAAGACCTCACTGAGGGCAATGCACTGAGAAAAGTTAAGTTAGCACAAGGAGCTTGCAGTTGAAGAACATGATGATGAAAGAGTACACACAATCAATAGGACTTGACACTCAGCTTACATTTATTATAATCACATCTAAATTTCTGGCTTTGGCTAAGAGTTGGATGGTTGTGGAACAGAACGAGGGAGGGTAAATGTATTTCGGAAGGAAAGAGGATGGCGAAAGCCATGGACAGAGTTTGAATAGGCAAGTAAGAAAATAGGGTCAAGAACAGAGCTCTGGGGAATACAAACCATTTAAAAGTACAGCAAAAAAAGGAGAACAAGCAAACACCAGAGAATGAGGAAACTGCACTAGTAGAAAAATGAAAGTATGGTTAGAAAACCCAAGGGAGGAGGGAGTTTGACAGATGGAAGCCCAACAGAGTCAAAAGCTGAAAAGAATAAAAAAGGCTGGAGGCAAAAAAAAAAAAAAAAAAAAAAAAAAAAGGGGAGAAAAAAAAAAAAAAAAAAAAAAAGTAGTAAAAAGATAAAAACTAAAAAGCATGCAGTAGATATGATGACCAAGAGGTCCTCTGAGTGATACCACAGAAGTTTCAGTGCAGGGGTGGGGTTGGAACCCTGATTTCAGTATGTTAAAGACTAAGTGGGAAGTATGAAGTGAAGATTGTAAAGTGGATTCAAGTAATCTGAGGATAGAGAACACCACACCCAAACCAGTGAAAAAAATGAACCCACTTGGAAAGATACACAAATTCGCTTGGGATTTTGAGTATAGCTGAATTTAGTCAGAAGCAGTTAATATAACACGAAAAAGGTGAGGAATAACACTTTTTAAGTTCTGGGGTACATTTACAGATTATGCAGGATTGTTGCATAGGTATACACATGCCATGGTGGTTTGCTGCATCCATGCCCTGTCATCTACATTAGGTATTTCTCCTAATGTTATCCGTCTCCAATCCCCCTACCCGCCACTATCCCTTCCCTGGCCCCTCCACCCCACAACAGGCCCTGGTATGTGATGTTCCCCTCCCTGTGTCCATGTGTTCTGTTACACACCCACTTATGAGTGAGAACATGCAGTGTTTGGTATTCTGTTCGTGTTTGCTGAAAACGGTTTCCAGTTTCATCCATCTCCCTGAAAAGGACATAAACTCATCCTTTTTTATGGCTGCATAGTATTCCATGGTGTATATGTGCCACTTTTTTATTATTATACTTTAAGTTCTGAGGTACATGTGCAGATCTTGCAGGATTGTTACATAGGTATATACATGCCATGGTGGTTTGCTGCCTCCCTCCCCTCTTCACCCACATTAGGTATTTCTCCTAATGTTATCCCTTCCCAACCTCCCACCCCATGCTATCACTCGCCTAGCTGCCCACCCCCCACAACAGATCCCAATGTGTGATGTTCACCTCCCTGTGTCCATGTGTTCTCATTGTTCAAGACCCACTTATGAGAACATGCAGTGTTTGGTTTTCTGTTCTTGTGTCTGTCTGCTGAGAATGATGGTTTCCAGATTCATCCATGTTCCTGCAAAGGACATGAATCTCATCCTATTTTGTGGCTGCATAGTATTCCACAGTGTATATGTGCCATATTTTCTTTATCCAGTCTATCCTTGATGGGTATTTGGGTTAGTTCCAAGTCTTTGCTATTGTAAACAGTGCCGAAATGAACATATGTGTGCACATGTGTCTTTATAATAGAACAATTTGTAATCCTTTGAGTGTATACCCAGTAATGGGATTGCTGGGTCAAATGGTACTTCTATTTCTAGATCCTTGAGGAATCACCACACTGTCTTCCACAATGGTTGCACTAATTTACACTCCAACCAACAGTGTAAAAGTGTTCCTATTTCTCCACGTCCTCTCCATCATGTTGTCTCTGGATTTTTTAACGATCCCCATTCTAATTGGCATGAGATGATATCTCAATGTGGTTTTGATCTGCATTTCTCTAATGACCAGTGATGGTGAGCATTTTTTGTGTTTCTTGGCCATATAAATGTCTTCATTTGAAAAATGTCTGTTCATGTCCTTTGCCCACTTTTTGATGGGGTTATTTTCTTGTAGATTTGTTTTAGTTCTTTGTAGATTCTGGATATTAGCCCTTTGTCAGGTGGGTAGCTTACAAAAATTTTTTCCCATTTTGTTGGTTGCCAGTTTCCTCTAATGATTATTTCTTTTGCAGTGCAGAAGCTCTTACATTTAATTAGATCCCATTTATCTATTTTGGCTTTTGTTGCCATTGCTTTTTTTAGTTATCAAGTCCTTGCCTATGCCTATGTCCTGAATGGTACTGCCTATGTTTTCTTCTAGGGTTTTTATGGTGTTAGGTCTTATGTTTAAATCTTTAATCCTAATCCATCTGGAGTCAATTTTTGCATAAGGTGTAAGGATGCGGTCCAATTTCAGCTTCCTGCACATGGTTAGCCAGTTTTCCCAACACTTTCCCCATTGCTTGTTTTTGTCAGGTTTGTCAAAGATCAGATGGTTGTAGGTGTGTGTGGCAATACTTCCAAGGCTTCTGTTCTGTTCCATTGGTCTATAGCTCTGTTTTAGTACCAGTAGCATGCTGTTTTGATTACTGTAGCCTTAAAGTCAGGTAGCATGATGCCTCCAGCTTTGTTCTTTTTGCTTAGGGTTGTCTCGGCTAGGCGGGCTCTTTTTTGGTTCCATATGAAGTTTAAGGTGGTTTTTTTTTTTTTTTTTTTTTTTTTTTTTTTTTTCCAGTTCTATGAAGAAGGTCAATGGAATAGCATTTACAGATTCAATGATGTGGATAGCATTGAATCTGTAAATTACTTTGGGCAGTATGGCCATTTTCACAATACTGATTCTTCCTAACCATGAGCATGGACTGTTTTTCTATCTGTTTGTGTCCTCTCTTATTTCCCTTAGCAGTGGTTTATAGTTCTCCTTGAAGATGTCCTTTACATCCCTTGTTAGTTGTGTTCCTAGGTATTTTATTCTCTTCATAGCAATTGTGAATAGGAGTTCACTCATGATTTGGAATATAGGAATACTTGTGATTTTTGCACACTGATTTTGTATCCTGAGACCTTGCTGAAGCTGCTTATAAGCTTAAGGAGATTTTAGACTGAGACAATGGGGTCTTTTAAATGTACAATCATGTCATCTGCAAATAGAGACAATTTGACTTCCTCTCTTCCTAACTAAATATCTTACTTCTTTTTCTTGCCTGATTGCTCTGGCTAGAACTTCCAATACTATGTTGAATAGGAGTGGTGAGACAGGGCACCCTTGTCTTGTGCCAGTTTTCAAAGGGAATGCTTTTCCAGTTTTTGCCCATTCAGTATGATGGGTTTGTCATAAATTTATGTCTATGGGTTTGTCATAAATAGCTTTTATTATTTTGAGATATGTTCCATCGATACCCAGTTTATTGAGAGTTTTCAGCATAAAGGGCTGTTGAATTTTGTCGAAGGCCTTCTCTGCATCTATTGAGATAATCGTGTAGTTTTTGTCTTTGGTTCTGTTTATGTGATAAATTACATTTATAGATTCACATATGTTAACCCAGCCTTGCATCCCAGGATGAAGCCAACTTGATTGTGACGGATAAGCATTTTGATGTGCGTTGGATTCGGTTTGCCAGTATTTTATTGAAGATTTTCACAGCAATGTTCATCATGGACATTGGCCTGAAATTTTCTTTTTTAGTTGTCTGCCAGATTTTGGCATCAGGATGATGTTGGTCTCAAAAAAAGAGTTAGGGAGGATTCCCTCTTTTTGTATTTTTTTGGAATAGTTTCAGAAGGAATGGTACTAGCTCTGCTTTGTACCTCCAGTAGAATTTGGCTGTGAACCCATCTGGTCCTGGATTTACTTTGGTTGGTAGGCTATTGCTACCTCAACTTCAGACCTTGTTATTGGTCTACTCAGGGATTCAACTTCTTCCCGATTTAGCCTTGGGAGGGTGTCCAGGAATTTATCCATTTCTTCTAAATTTACTGGTTTATGTGCATAGAGGTGTCTATAGTAGTCTCTGATGGTAGTTTGTATGTCTTTGGAATCAGTGATGATATCCCCTTTGTCATTTTTTACTGCATCTATTCAATTCTCTCTTTTCATTAATGTAGCTAGTGGTCTATTTTGTTGATTTTTTTCAAAAAACCAGCTCCTGAATTTATTGATTATTTTGAAGGGTTTGTGTCTCTATCTCCTTCAGTTATGCTCTTAGTTATTTCTTGTCTTCTACTAGCTTTTGAATTTGTTTGATCTTGCTCCTCTAGTTCTTTTAATTGTGACATTAGGGTGCCGATTTTAGATCTTTCCTTGCTTCTCATGCGGGCAGTTAGTGCTATAAATTTCCCTCTAGACACTGCTTTAAATGTGTCCCAGAGATTCTGGTATGTTGTGTCTTCATTCTCGTTGGTTTCAAAGAACATCTTTATTTCTGCCTTCATTTCATTATTTATCCATTAGTCATTCAGGAGCAGGTTGTTCAGTTTCCACGTAGTTGTGCAGTTTTGAGCGAGTTTTTCAATCCTGAGTTCTAATTTGATTGCACTGTGGTCTGAGAGACTGATTTCCCTTCTTTTGCATTTGTTGAGGACTGATTTACTTCCAATTATGTGGTCAATTTTACAGCAAGTGCGATGTGCTGGGGAAGAATGTATATTCTGTGGATTTGGGGTGGAGAGTTCTGTAGACGCCTATTAAGTCTGCTTGGTCCAGATCTGAGTTCAAGTCCTGGATATCCTTGTTAATTTTCTGTCTAACTGATCTAATGTTGACAATGGAGTGTTTAAGTCTCCCACTATTATTGTGTGGGAGTCTAAGTCTCTTTGTAGGTCATTAAGAACTTGCTTTATGTATCTGGGTGCTCCTGTATCGGGTGCATATATATTTAGGATAGTTAGCTCTTCTTGTTGCATTGATCCCTTTACCATTATGTAATGCCCTTGTCTCTTTTGATCTTTGTTGGTTTAAAGTCTGTTTTATCAGAGACTAGGATTGCAACCCCTGCTTTTTTTTTTTGCCTACATTTGCTTGGTAAATCTTCCTCCATCCCTTTATTTTGAGCCTATGTGTGTCTTTGCACATGAGATGGGTCTCCTGAATACAGCACTCTGATGGGTCTTGACTCTTTATCCAGTTTGCCAGTCCGTGTCTTTTGTTTGGGGCATTTAGCCCATTTACATTTAGGGTTAATATTGTTACATGTGAATTTGATCCTGCCATTTTGATTTTAGCAGGTTGTTTTGTCTGTTAGTTGGTGCAGTTTCTTCATTGTCTCAATGGTCTTTACAACTTGGTATGTTTTTGCGGTGGCTGGTCATGGTTGTTCCTTTCCATGTGTAGTGCTTCCTTCAGGAGCTCTAGTAAGGCAGGCCTGGTGGTGATGAAATCTCTCAGCAATTGCTTGTCCATAAAGGATTTTATTTCTCCTTCACTTATGAAGCTTAGTTTGGCTGGATATGAAATTCTGGGTTGAAAATTCTTTTCTTTAAGGATGTTAAATATTGGCCTCCACTCTCTTCTGGCTTTTAGGGTTTCTGCCGAGAGATCCGCTGTGAATCTGATGGGCTTCCCTTTGTGGGTAACCCGACCTTTCTCTCTGGCTGCCCTTAGCATTTTTTCCTTCATTTCAACCCTGACGAATCTAACAATTATGTGCCTTGGGGTTGTTCTTCTCGAGGAATATCTTTGTGGTGTTCTCTGTATTTCCTGGATCTGAATGTTGGCCTGACTTGCTAGGTTGGGAAAGTTCTCTTGGATAATATCCTGAAGAGTGTCTTCCAGCTTGGTTTCATTCTCCCCATCACATTCGGGTACACCGATCAAACGTAGATTTGGTCTTTTCAAATAATCCCATGTTTCTTGGAGGCTTTGTTCATTTCTTTTCACTCTTTTTTCTCTAATCTTGCCTTCTCGTTTTATTTCATTGAGTTGATCTTCAATCTCTGATATCCTTTCTTCTGCTTGATTGATTCGGCTACTGAAACTTGTGTATGCTTCGTGAAGTTCTCGTGCTGTGTTTTTCGGCTCCATCAAGTCTTTTATGTTCTTCTCTAAGCTGGTTATTCTAGTTAGTATTTCATCTAAACTTTCTATAGTTTAAAAAAACAACCAAAGCCAGATAATATAAATCCAAAGACATACTTTTCAACACAATTTTAGCACATAAATCAAGTTCATTTCTAATCTAAGTTTGAAAGAGGAAAAAAACTAACTTATTTATTTCTTACCAAACTTTGGTGTAGTAAAAGTGAATTCTGGACCATCCTTCCCACCTTCATCTGTGTATGCTGCCATTCGAACCATGTACAATGTGTCACTAGTCAAAGAGGACAATGTATATTCTGTGTGGGAAGAATCCACATTCACAGCTGGAAGAAATAAAGAACCGTGCTTCATTCAACTATTCAATGCTTTTACTTATCTGGCCTATATCTGGCATGTGAAAGTATTAACGAAGCAAAGTATTTTTGTCAGAAAACAACTTTTTTAATGTTCTGACACAATTTTATGCTCTAAAGCATAACACAGTAGTTTTTTAATACACCCATGAAAGCAACCATAGGCACATTCTCAGGTGTCTCCTGAGACCAATATACTATAATAAGATGTATAACATAACAAAAATAGACTTAAATTAGTACCTAAAAGCTTAAGGAAAAAATGTCTGATCTAAATAACTAATACAGTTTTATTACCGGTTTCATTTCCAATGATGGTTCTATAAAATATAGTGTAATTTCTGATAAATCCATTCTGAACATCAACAGGAAGTTGGTCCCACTCTAAGACCGCTTCATTTTTCCCTACTTTTTTTGTCCGAACAGTAGGTCCTTTGGAAGGTGCTGTAAGAGAATAAACACATTTGCTAACTGAAAATCATTTGGAATTTAGTAAAATTTCCTTATGATAAAATTATTTGAACATAATGAGATATATCCTTATTTAAAAGTGATAAAAATTTTTTTGTTAATACAAACCCCTAAACTTTTTTTTTTTTTATCCCAAAGAAAGTGAGCTTGGACTTACGGGCTTGTTTAAGGTATGCCTTTATGGATTCAGGACTTCCTGGTCCATCAGCATATACTGGAGTAACTGTTATCAAATAGCATTTGCTCTCTGCTAAGTTCCCTAAAACAAGAATACCAGATTAAGTATGTTTTTCTATAATGAAAAAGTTAATACCATTATTTATTTTTACATTATAATTTCATGACCACTTAATTTTCTTTTTAAACTGCAGTTTTCAGCCAGGCGCGGTGGCTCATGCCTATAATCCCAGCACTTTGGGAGGCTGAGGCGGGTGGATCACGAGGTCAAGAGATCAAGACCATCCTGGTCAACATGGTGAAACCCGGTCTCTACTAAAAATACAAAAATTAGCTGGGCATGGTGGTGCACGCCTGTAGTGCCAGCTACTCAGGAGGCTGAGGCAGGAGAACTGCTTGAACCCAGGAGGCATAGGTTGCGGTGAGCCAAGATTGTGCCATTGCACTCCAGCCTGGGTAATAAGAGTGAAATTCCGTCTCAAAAAAAAAACCTGCAGCTTTCTAAGTAAGCATTGCCTTTTGTGTACTGGATTCAAGTTTAATTGGGTACAACCGTCTGTAAAAGTATTGGCAATGCAGTGAATAAAAATTATATTGTTAAGAATAATGATGGTATTTACATTTAGAATTTATAAAACAATGATCTCAAATTACTCTTGATCTTAGAGTCTGACTATTTTTGTATGTCTTTTTTTTTTTTTTTCTCTTGAGATGTAGTCTCGCACTGTTGCCCAGTCTGGAGTGCAATGGCACAACCTCGGCTCACTGCAACCTCTGCCTCCCAGGTTCAAGTGATTCTCCTGCCTCAGCCTCCCAAGTAGCTGAGATTACAGGCACTCACCACCACGCCCAGCTAATTTTTATATTTTTAGTAGAGATGGGGTTTCACCATTTTGGCCAGGCTGGTCTCGAACTCCTGACCTTGTGATCTGCCCACCTCAGCCTACCAGAGTGCCGGGATTACAGGCATGAAACACTGCACCCAGCCCTTGTATGTCTTACCTACAAGAGAGAACTGCCTAAGGAGCAAGATGAATAAACTAGTAGGACCTAAGGGAAAGCACTAATGGCCCTAGTTTGTTGGGTGAGTTGGAAAAAAGGTATCTGAAAAACTTCCTTGGCAGGGGCTATGGCTCCTATCTATAATCCCAGCACTTTGGAAGGCTGAGGTGGGTGGATCACTTAACAAAAACAAAAACAAACTTCCTTTATTTTTATCATTTTTAGCATGTTATATTCCTTTTTATATAAAATTTAACATTTTAAATTTAGATTTAACATTTTAGCATGTTAAATTTTAGCAGTTAAATTCCTTTTTTATACATTATATGTATATATCAGAAAATGTTTTATTGAAATTTACCTTCAACAAGAATGTACATTCCTTAACTATAACTCATGAAATTACATGTTCCTTTACCTTCTTAAAGTGATTTTACCTTTTGATGATTCAATATACCAAGAAGTGAACAGTTTTTATATTCTATTCTAATAGTGATGCTTTTAGGGTTACTGAGCTATATATGACTACCTACCCCAATCTTAATGTCTCCACAACCTATGCTAGCTTTTTTTTTTTTTTGAGATGGAGTTTCACTCTTATTGCCCAGGCTGGAGCGCAATGGCGCTATCTTGACTCACTGCAACCTCTGCCTCCTGGGTTCAAGCAATTCTCCTGCCTCAGCCTCTCAAGTAGCTGGGATTATAGGCATGCGCCACCATGACCAGCTAATTTTGTATTTTTAGTAGAGATGGAGTTTCTCCATGTTGGTCAGGTTGGTCTCAAACTCCTGACTTCAGGTGATCCACCCACCTCAGCCTTCCAAAGTGCTGAGATTACAGATGTGAGCCACCATGCCCGGCCACTTTTTAAAAAAGTTTCTATTGGCTCTGAACAGTGGCTCATGCCTGTGATACCAGCACTTTGGGAGGTTGAGGTGAGAGGATTGCTTGAGGCCAGGTATTGGAGACCAGCCTCTGCAATACTGAGTGTGGCAGCATGTGCCTGTAGTCCCAGATACTCCAGAGGATGAGGCAGATGATCACTTCAGCCTGGGAGTTGAAGGCTGCAGTCAGCCATGATCATGCCACCATACTCCAGCCTGGGCAATGGACTGAGACCCTGTATTTATTTATAAGTTTCTATAGTTATTTCCAGCCTGTTTCTTCCCTAAGCTTCAAATATTTTTAATTTGATATGGTCAATAAACCAGACAACCAAGCTCATTAAAACTGTACACTAATAATAGGTTAATGAAGTCCAAACAGCTTGTGTTATGATTAAAGCTCAAAAACTTTATGGCAGGAGTCTCTCTGCTTATAGCTTTTCTCTAATTAACTATATTATTCACAGCTGAATTCTAATTATTAATTATCCTTCAGCAACAAAATAACATAAATTGAGTTTGTTTTCTCTTTAAAGTTGTTATATCGCTTTAAAAGCACTTAAGCAGCACTGTAACACACAGACTGGAGCGCTATGATTCATTACTTCTGTCCTTCACTAGTACTGCCAATTGAAAGACGTAAGGAAATCTGAGTTCTAGTTCTGCTTCCTCTGTCTGATGGCTCTAAGACATTCAACAAGTCATCCAGATGCTCTAGGAAACCATTTTCTCATCTGAAAGATGAGGGTGTTAGGTAGAAAGAACATACAACTAATCTGCAGCAAAGGTTCGACTCTTGTATTTCCCTATACTCTGTAGTTTTAAGAGTTTTCCCTTGATGATAAAACCATACTGGGGTACAAACAGAAGACAGTATTAATCCCAGTCTGTTCATAAAGAGACTCTAATTCAGAGAGGTTAAGTATGAACTGCTGAAAGTCACACATTTAATAACTAGTGGGGCTATGATAAATTGGAAGTCTTTTCAATGGACCACAACACCTATAAGCAAAAGAAAAAGCTGCCTAAAGAGTTAGAAAAAGGATATCAACTTAAATGTTTCTAGCCAGGTATACCTCTTAAATAGGTGCGATGCACGGTACCATCTTCTTGTTGCCAGTCTGTGATACAGGGTGATTTATCTGATAACACACACCACTCAAGTACATATTTCTTTACAGATTCCCTTGGAGTAGTCCATTCTACCCAAAGCATGTTATCTTTGGGGAATGCTTTAAGATCCATTACAGGGCGAGTAGCTTTAAAACAAAGTTTGAATATTGACATAATAAATACTCACAAATTTGAAATTTCCGTATTTTACAGTCATTTCTAAAATGTGATTTATCAATTTTTGTTAGCATATATTTCCTTGCATAAAAGCACTTTATTGTAACTTACAAGTAAAGTAGTCAATTAATTTTTAAACGTAAATATTGCTTTCCCCGCCGGGTGTGGGGGCTCCTGCCTGTAATCCCAGCACTTTGGGAGGCTGAGGTGGGCAGATCACTTGAGGTCAGGGGTTTGAAATCAGCCTGGCCAACATGAGGAAACCCCATCTCTACTAAAAAATGCAAAATTAGCTGGGTGTTATGGTGCATGCCTGTAATTCCAGCTACTTGGGAGGCTGAGGCACAAGAATTACTGGAAGCCAGGAGGCAGAGGCAGCAGTGAGCTGAGATCACGCCACTGCACTCCAGCCCAGGCAACAGAGTGGCACTCTGTCTCAAAAAAAAAAAAAAAAAAAAAATTGCTTTCCCTAAATTCTTCAAATATTTGGTATTTCTAAGTTTGTAATTGCAATTTTTCTTCTTTGAAAAGTACAAATAAGGCTACAGATAAACATATGTACATGAGGTTCCCAAAGTCTTGAAATAATATTTTAAAAACCAGGTAAGTAATCAGAATATGCTTAAATGAATTAAGTAGCTTACTGCAAAGTTTAAGTGAGCATGTCGCGATGGAAATGTTTCTTGTATCCTTAAGAAATTTGTCTGTTGACTGATTCCTAAAAATGTGTCACTGGCTATGTGCAGTGGCTTATGCCTATAACCCCAGCACTTTGGGAGGTCAGGGAGAGATCGCGTGAGCTCAGGAGTTCCAGACCAGCCTGAGCAACCTGGCAAAACCCAGTCGCTAAAAAAAAGGAAAAGAATCATTATTTATAAAATTAAAACAATTTAAAAATAAAAATGTGATTATCTCTGACACTGACGAGATAGTCTTAGATGACTTGTGTTTTTTATGGGAGCCCTGTCCATCCCTAACCACCTTTTTTCCATCCAAGAGTCAGTCTCCATCTCACAGACACAAACCTTGAAAGTCACAGGCAGGAATACTTAAAACAGCTGCATCTGATTTGCCAACAAGATTTCTTGCTGTTAGGGTTGCTACATAGCGATCATTTGTAAGATTTACTGTCAGCTTTGTGTCATTAACTGTGTAATTTTGTAAACGTGATTTCCATCTTGTGAGAGTCACTTCATAATCCAAGATTTTTCCATTGGCTTCAAAAGGAGGCAATGTCTGTAATAAAATAGTTTACTTTTAAAAATGATTTCATAAATCTTAAATAAGTTAATCAGTTTTTCCTCATATTCACAAATCATGCCATTATGTCAAATCTCTAAATATTTAACTGTAAAGGACTCACAATCTCATTTTGATTCTAAAATAAAACTACTACATACTAAATGAAGAGCAAAAGCATGACTTCAACTAAAAGAGGGTAAGTAGCATCATTCTGTTAGCTTCTGGATCTGTATGCAATTCTGCATTGTGGCTATGTAGGCCTAAATTATTGAATTTATGCTCGAGTATTTTTCTCTTTACCTTCTTTTTTAGTATGATCTACTCATGCACTTATCAGCATACATTTTGATTATCGTGAACTTTTAGTATTTTCTGAGGTACTCTGGAAAATTCCAAATTACAAAACAACATTCCTCTTCTTATAGAACTTATACTTTCACCGAACTGTACTTAAATACCTATGAGGTATTATTTATAGTTTATGAACTTGACTTCTATATATTAATACATACAAAGCTTTAACTTTTTAACATTTTTATTAAAAAATAGTACTCAAATGCTTTGCTATTAAGATGAATAAAAACTTATCTGTTTAAAAAACCTCCACTCATAATACCATCCAAAATGTATTTATAAGGGTCAGGTGCGGTGGCTCACGGCTGTAATCCCAGCACTTTGGGAGGCCGAGGCAGGTGGATCACAAGGTCAAAAGATCAAGACCATTCTGGCTAAAATGGTGAAACATTATCTCTTCTAAAGGTACAAAAATTAGCTGGGCATGGTGGCATGCGCGTGTAGTCCCAGCTACTCAGGAGGCTAATGCAAAAGAATTGCCTGAACCCAGGAGGCAGAGGTTGCAGTGAGCTGAGATTGCACCACTCCACTCCAGCCTGGTGACACAGCGAGACTCTGTCTTTAAAAAAAAAAAAAAAAATGTATTTATAGGAGATAAAAGACTGTAAATGTGATTTTTACCTTCCACATGAGTTGTACAGTTCTATAGCCATGAGTATGGGATGGATCTATTTTATACCAAAAGCTTGGTGCTTTAGATGGTCCTAAAGAAAAGACATAAACTTCTTAAAATAAAGTTTTTAATAGTAAAATAACATTCTGCAAAGTATTCTTTTACTTTGTTCTTGCTACTCTTGCCCTCCAATTGTATCTCTTTATACCAGCATTTTCCCATCCCAGCATGATACACCTGGCTCTTCCTTTTGTCACAGTGATAGCCTGATGATTACAATTATAACGGAACGCTTTTCTAACCTCAAAATTGTAAAGGTACAAATGTATCCTGAGCAACATCTAGAGAGGCATCACTCTTTCTTATAACTTCATGTTCTTTATTCGGTGTGTGTGCTGCACTGCATTTTTGCGTATTTATCTACTTGAATCTCCTGTACCAGCAGCCTTTTCCCAGACTTCCTGGTCTGCCTGTCCTCACTTCTGTTTTGTCATCTGTAATTGCCTCTTCATGATCAACACATCACTGCCTAGATTTTATTTGGCTCCTCTCTTATTCTATCGATAGTACTTATCGCTGAAAATCAAACTGGAAAATCTATTTAAACACATTCAATATTCATAGGAATATAAAACAAGATAAATGTAGTAAAATAAGTTTACTACTTTTACTACTTTTTGTAGGGATGATTGAGAGTGATGGGATGTAATAAAAACAAATTCACAGTATTGTTGTGATAATCATTAACCATTTGAAAAAGCACTCCAGAAAACATAGTGTATTGCTTTTTTTCCAAAGACAGTGTTTCACTCTGTTGCATAGGCTGGAGTACAGTGGATGACTGTAGCGCACTATAACCCTGAGCTCCTTGGCTCAGGTGATCCTCCCTCCTCAGCATCCCAAGTAGCTGGGGTTTGGCCACCATACCCAGCCAAAACACAAACTGTTAAATATAGTAATTAAATTAGGTTTTTAAAATGCCTGTAGTATCAATTCTTCAAAACTTTTATAACAGCTATTAAGTGTAGTATAATTTTTTAATTGAACTTTCAGCAATAAGTAATATCAACTGATACTATTGATACTTTTTATTGTAAAAAGTTTGTCTTAAAAAAATGAATGGCACTGACTGGCTTCTCAAAATTTTTATAAATATAATAACAAGATATGGTCGTCAGTAGAATAAGAAAGGAGTTGAATAAAATCTAAGCAGTGAGGCTGGGTGTGGTGGCTCATGCTTGCAATCTCAGCACTTTAAGAGGCCAAGGCATGTGGATCACACTTTAGCTCAGTAGTTCAAGACCAGCCTGGGCAACATGGCAAAACCTTGTCTCCATAAAAAATACAAAAATTTGCTGGGCATGGTGGCATATGCTGCAGTCCCAGCTACGTTGGGGGCTGAGGCAGGAAGATCGCTTGAGCCTGGGAGGTTGAGGCTGCAGTGAGCTGTGTTCATGCCACTGCACTCCAGCCTGGGTGACAGAGTGAGATCCTGTTTCAAAAAATAAAAAATCTAAATACTGATATGTCATGAAGAGGCAATTACAGACAACAAAACAGAAAAGAGAGGACACGCAGACCAGGAAGGCTGGGAAAAAGGCTGCTGGTACAGAAGTTCAAACAGATAAATACACATGCGTACAATGCAGCACCCAAACAGAATAAAGAACATTAAATTATTTTTTAAAAATGTATGAGCCAGAAATATTTCCTAACATAAAGAGAACCCAGAGACTTCATTCACTCATTGATTTGACTAAGATTATGTACCCTTGTCACATAAAAATGCACACAGGCACTAACCACAATATTTTACCTACATTTTAAAGTATTTCATGAACTCCTCCCCATGTCCCTCAGTTTAAGAATTCTGGTCAAGACAAAGGAATCTGGCTGAGGACTCCCAAGCCAGCAATAGCAAAACTGCTTTTCTGCCTTTGACATTCTCAAGTCACATCATCTAAACCACTAGATGAGCTGTAAGTAAAGGGATATAAGTGGTAGGGGATTATTTAGCCACAACTACTGCCACCGATAACTAAGGGGTGAATCTGTGATAGGAAGGTGTTCAAAATGAAAAATCTATGCCACAGGATTATTTCTTTATGGCTACACAAGAACTTAGTAACATCAGCTGCTTTGCAGTGAGAATCTTACTTTAGACTGTACACTCTTTTTGTACCTTTTATATTCTATACATTATATTATCTATAGGAGAAAAAAAGAAAATAAAAACTAACCAACCAAAATTCCAGGGTCAATCGCTTCCCAAGGGCTTATCAAGTGCTATTAGAAAAAAAATGAATAAAAGGTATAATACAAATATCTTTTTGATAGTGAGTATGGATCTAAGGTATAGTTTGCTAGACAGTGTGATTTTAATGATTCAGGATATGATTCTCTAGTTAGGAGTATCTCTGGACAAGTCTCCTTGAATAAAATCTTCTATAGACTTATCAACACTTAAGTCAACGGTTTTCTGATAGTATCTAAGACACCAATCCATAATAATTTAATTAGGTATCAAATAGACTTATACTATCAATAATCTGTATTAAATTTTACATCCTAATGTCCTTAAAAATGAAAATGTGAAATACTGCAGTTTGAATAAAATGATCACAAAATAAGAAGCAATCAGGCTATATTATTAAAACCAGAACCAATTCACAGCTGGAATTCCAATAGCTTTACTTCTTCATATATGCATTTACTTACTATCTTCGTAGGTGATCCCACTTGCTTCTTCACTCCAGTCACTCCAGTATCCCTTACCATCTTCCTTCATACAGCGAATCCTAAACACATATTCTGTGAAAGGTTTAAGGTCCTGGACAGTGAATGAAGATCGGGTGGATGCTGTATCTTCAGGAGGAATCTGAAACAAAGGAAATCAACCAACAGAAAACCTCGATTAGTAAGGTCTTCTATATTTTGTTAAAATTTAGAATTTTTTTTTTTTTTGAGGTGGAGTCTTGCTCTGTTGCCCAGGCTGGAGTGTAGTGATGTGATCTAGGCTCACTGCAGCCTCTGCCTCCCAGGTTCAAGTGATTCTCCTGCCTCAGCCTCCTGAGTAGCTGGGATTACTCACAGGCACCCACCACCACTCCCAGTTCATTTTTGTATTTTTAGTATAGACAAGGTTTCACTATGTTGGCCAGGCTGGTCTCAAACTCCTGACCTCAAGCAATCTACCTGCCTTGGCCTCCCAAAGTGCTGGTGTGAGCCACTGTACCCAGCCTACAAGCTATTTTATTGAAACAGGACTGATACATTAAACTCAACCTCAGGAGAGAAATAAGTGTAAGTTTTCTAAATCAGTAAAATTATTAGGTTTGAGAAGTATGGAAACATCTGTTACCCTTCCTTTTTTCCCTTTATTTCTTCCACAGGGCTTTTGATATAACTCAGGATTTCAGTAGAAAACAGATGGCACACTCCATTTAGAATTAATTCAAGGAGGGTTTCATAAAGGGACTACGTGCAGAGTATATGAAATCCTTAGACAGTGCAGTTAATACTTTGGCGCTGTTTCTACGTCTAGGCCCAAAGGGATGAGGAGAGGTACCAGAACGTGAAAGAAGAGGGTCAGCTAGGGAGGGCTGTCTTGACAGGCAGTGACCTTAAATTGAAAGACAGCTGGCTGGGTGTGGTACCTAACACCTGTAATCCCAGCACTTTGGGAGGCTGAGGTGAGTGGACCACCTGTGGTCAGGAGTTCAAGACCAGCCTGGCCAATGGTGAAACCCCATCTTTACTAAAAATAGAAACATTAGCTGGGCGTGGTGGTGGGTACCTATAATCCCAGCTACTCGGGATTCTGAGGCAGAAGAATCGCCTGAACTGGGGAGGCGGTGGTTGCAGTGAGCCAAGATCGTGCCATTGCACTCCAACCTGGGCAATGAGAGTGAAACTGCATCTCAAAAAAGCAACAACAAAAAAAGCCAGTTCCAGGGAGGAAGCAGAGAAAAATAAACATGCCAATTTCACTTTTCTTCTGTCTTCTCTCCTGCCCAGCATTAACCAAAGTCACTAGGAAGCTAGAAAGAATAGGAACCCACAGATGAAATCCATACAGGTCAGCATGACACAACAAAGAGAAGGGTAGGGAAGAGAAGAGCGTAGATGTGGACGGGCAGAAGGAAGGTATCCAGCCCAATCAAGAAAAACAAGAGTTTTTGTGGCTTTTAAACTTGGCTTTCAGGAAAAAAGGAGATTAAACATAGATAAATAAGTAGTTCTATTACTCTGACAATATTAGGTACAAAATAAATATCAGTCTTTTTTATAGCACTGAATTAAGATTCTGTACTTAATATCACATTCTGAAGAACTTCAGCTATGTACATTCTCTGTACAACATGAAGCATTAAACCAATTTTGTTTTATTGCTTTTTCTGATTGTATTCTGAGCACTATAAGTGGGAAAAAGAGAAGTAGTAAGGTCATGAGCCCAATTCCCTTACAAGCTGTGACCACAGCAGCAAAAGCAAAGACATACTGTTAGTGATAAATGAAATCAAAAGAGAGAAGAGTATGGACAGCTGAATGCTATGGTGATAGCCTTTTAAAAAGCTCCAAGTATTTTTTCTTTTGCTGACAAGCATCATCTTTGGGTACACTTATCCTTTTCAGTCTTAAAAGTTCCCTACCAATCCCTTCCTTTACCTCAGTAGTTGGCAAACTTTCCATAAAGAGGTAGATAAAATATTTACTAATATTTTAGCCTTGTGGGCCAGATAATCTCTTTGAAACTACTCACTCTTCCAATGTAGAATAAAAATAGAGACAATATGTAAAGAAATTAGTATGGCTGTGTTCAAAAAAAACTTTATTTACAAAAACAAGTCACAGGCTGATTTTGGCAGAGGGTAGCACACCAACCCCTACACTAGCTACCTTATCTTTATAATCTCTTTATTTTTGCTCCTCTACTTAATTTGCTTATTACCTATATTCTTTGTATCCCCCATCAAAAATGCCATTTCTAGGTTTGGAGTGGTAGCTCACATCTGTAATCCCAGCACTTTGAGAGGACAAAGTAGGAGAATCACTTAAGGAGTTTGAGACCACCTTGGGCAACATGGTGAGACTCTATCTCCACAAATAATAATAATAATAATAATAATAATAATGGCAGCCAGGTGTGGTGGTGCACACCTGTAATGAGACTAAGGCAGGGGGATCACCTAAGCTTGAGTCCAAAGTTGGAGTGGGCCAGCAGCCTGAGCAAAGGGAGACCCCGTCTCTTAAAAAAAAAAAAAAAGCCATTTCCTATCAACCTGTATCATTTTCACATTGTACTTAAAGGCTACTGTATACAGCAAAGCTGTATTTTCTATCTTCCTGATTGCCCTTGTTTGAAATAAAGAAGAGGTGTCAAGCAAAATATTTCACTTAACCAGAAACTTAAGACATTTAGAAAATAACTGAAACTTTTTAAGGTTAGAGGGTTGAAAGAAGAACTATTTGAATAAACAGTAACTTTCAATTTACCTGGCTCCAGGTTGAGGCATCTTTGGTCCTATATTGAATGTCATATTTTAGCGTTATTACACTCTTAATACCTGGGTTGGTCCATGTCAGTTTTAAGATACTAGATAGTTCCTCTGAGTTGATCACTGATAAATTATGTGGTGGATTGGGCTTCACTGAAAAATAAATCCTAAGGCTTATTATGTTTTACAATTTCATATACAAACTCAAATATACTCTTTATATTTCCCTTTATTTTACAATATTCATTTATCCTTACCAAATGAACTAATTTCTCTGAAAATAATGCTATGCTATATATCTTATAATGGACAAAAAAAGATTTCTAAAGAACCTTTAGTTTTCCTTGTCAGTTTACTACATTTGTCAATCTCTTCAGGTTCATATATCAAAAGACAAACATTTATGATATCAGATTTTTTAAAACGAGAATAAAAATGGAATATACATATTGTAATTACAACGGTGTAAGATGTTTGAGAACTGGACAAATACCAGAAGATAACATTCAAAGTGAAAACAGCTATAATTGTGGTTGGATTATGGATATTTTTCTTTTTCCAAATTCCATTTGATATTATTGATAAAATGACTTCACAAAAATCACTAAGATAAATAAATGCTTGTTTCTACATTAATTAAAATCTAAAAACTGCTTTAATTTATAAACTACTATAGAGTCAAATAAACTCTCAAATTCAGGTTTATAACTACCTTTATATACAGGATCAAAATTGATATGATCTGATGTAACATTCCCAAGCGCATTCTCTGCTTCTACCCAGACTTCAATGTTGACAAAATACACAGTAGAATAATCAACAGTGCATGAGGTAGGGGTGTCACGTTTTGCTATGCAATCAGGAAACTTGTGTGTTGCCCTAAATACAAAAAGTTGAAGAATCAGTCATTAAAAACACATCTGAAAAAATTAGAGTGAAAAAAATTACTTGCAAAGAATTTGATGAGATTTAGACTGTTGTAGCAAATTTTGCAATAAATTGTTGATCACTAACAAAATTTCTTAAAAATTAACCTTTCTTTAAAATTGACTTTGATCTAAAGACATAAATTATTTTCAAATTTGTAGTCTAAAAATATTGTGCTTTAAAATTTTATGCTCCATCCCCACTGACACCCCTCCAAAAATTATCTATTTCCTTGTGATCCCAGTGCTGTTTTTTTTTCTTTTCCCTAAAACAGAACCCTTACTGTACCAGAAATTTCTTTAAGCACGATATGCTTTCTCTAAGCACAGTATGCTAGATGATGACAGGAGGTTAAGGATAAGAATTTCTATCACCCCTTAGCCTTTAGCCTTAGGGCTAAAATTCCTCTTTCTAGTCAAACTTAAGCAACCACTATCTGATTTCTAACACCATGGAAAGTTTCAAATAATATTACTATATTTATTTATATGTATATAAATTATGCCTCAATTAAAAATATGTATATATAACACTATTTTTTAAAATAGACGGATAAACCAAACCCCAAATCAAATCAAAACACAAACAGCCTCTAAGGGGAAGAAGGAACTATAAGGCAGAGGATTCAGGAATATAGACTTCACTGAACATGCCTTAATACTATTAATAGATTTGACTTTTGGGATTATTTTATATAATTAAGAAAAATTCATAAAAATCAAAAGCAAAATGAAACACATAAACTTGTGTACTGAGTATGTGGTATAACCACATAGAAAGGAACTATTCCAAGTAACATTAAAACATAGTAATATTCCATACTCTAGCCCGGCCTTAAAAAAAAAAAAAATAGTATTTGACTACTACACATCCTTCATAAAGAAAAACAATCTTAAAATCATGGCCGGGCAAGGTGGCTCACGCCTGTAACCCCAGCACTTTAGGAGGCCAAGGTGGGCCAATCATGGGGTCAAGAGATCAAGACCATCCTCGCCAACATGGTGAAACCACGTCTTTACTGAAATATGCAAAAATTAGCTGGGCATGGTGGCGCATGCCTATAGTCCCAGCTACTCGGGAGGCTGAGGCAGGAGAATTGCTTGAACCCGGGAGGTGGAGGTCGCAGTGAGCCAAGATCACGCCACTGCACTCCAGCCTAGTGCCTGGCAACAGAGCAAGACTCTGTCTAAAAAAAATCATTTTTAGTAATCATTTTGTTGGTGCTAATACTGGTGTTAATATTCTGCAGCTGTTGTATTAACCATAGGATAAAGCAAATGAATAATTATGTTAGTGTTGTGAACTAGGTTTTTCAGTTCATAAGAAAGAAAATGTAGATGTTAGGTGAATGTAATTATGTAAAAATCTACAGTCCTAATTTTAAACTGAAAATATCAGTATGAATTTGTATCTTTTAAAAAGATGTATTATATCTCAAACCACAAAACATCCTAGCTCTTTTGACTGAAAAAACCTAAAAACTATGACAATCCAGTAATGATGAATTCCACCCAGATTGTAGTCTCTAAATATTATTTCCCACTAAATGAAACCAGAGAGTTTTGGGAAATGGTTGATTCCAAGTCTGGGTGAAGAAATATGTAAGATGAGCCTGTAAAAACATGTTATATCAGAGAGCTACCAAGGGCTAAGGAAGTTGTATCAAGGCGATGAATGAGCTGGGCATGGTGTCTCATGCCTGTAATCCCAGTACTTTGGGAGGCAGGTGGATTACCTGAGGTCAGGAGTTCAAGACCAGCCTGGTCAACATGGTGAATCCCCATCTCTAATAAAAATACAAAAATTAGCTGTGCATGATGGTGGGCACCTATATAATTCCAACCACTTGGGAGGCTGAGGCAGGAGAATCGCTTGAACTCAGGAGGCAGAGGTGGCAGTGAGCTGATATCATGCCACTTCACTCCAGCCTAGGCAAAAAAAAGTGAAACTCTGTCTCAAAAGAAAAAAAGGCCAGGAACGGTGGCCTTACTTTGGGAGGCCGAGATGGGTGGATCACCTGAGGTCAGGAGTTCAAGACCAGCCTGGCCAACATGGTGAAACTCTGTCTCTAAAAAAGAAAAAACAAAAGACAGAGGCTGACAAATGCAGTTTCTCTTTTANAAAAAAAAAAAAAAAAAAAAAAAGGACGAATGAGCCAATCTGAATAAAGTGCCACCGATCAAAGATGGGACAATTTAAGCATCAATAAGAATAACCACTATAATGAATTAAAATATCAAATATGTTTAAATATAAATTTATAATGAAAAAGAAAAGCCCTCATTATCTAAGAGGATACCAGGAAATCAACTCATTATAAAACTGGTAATTAAGGAAAAATATTAACCCGATCATGTTTCTCTTATCTGAATTGTACTTCAGGGTAACTCACAATTGATAAAGGCAAGATTTTCTTTAGGTATTTCAGCTAAAACAAACAAAACACAGGATACTCATTTCGTAATTTGTATTATGATCATTGATGACTGCTCAAGGCTGTAAGGAAAAAACTAGTAGGAAAACAACAAGATTAAATTTCCAAAACATTCTGTTGAGTTGAAAAACTTTTCACAAAAGGCTATATACTATTCAGGGAGGACCCATACTCAGAAAAAAAAAAAAAAGACTATATAATCTCATTTATATGACCTTCTGTAACAGGAAAAAATAATCTATGGTGAAGAAAATCAGGTTGTTGCTCATGGGTGGGGCAGTGGCTGGGATTGACTGGGAAGGAGCAGGAGGGAACTTTTTGGTTGTAATGTTCTATGTCTTGATACTGATTTGAGTTACACGGGTGTACTTGTCAAAACTCAGTGGATGATACACTAAGATCTGTGTTTTTGCTATATGTAAATTTTATCTAAAAACAAAATACTGAACTCTAGTTCATGTAAAGTGATTAAGGGTGAAGCATATTAATGACTGCAACTCACTATGAAATGCATAAAAAAGAGATGAATAGATAGAAAGAAGGATGCATAAACAGATAATGAAGAAAATATAGTAAAACATTAACTGTAGAATATAGGTGATGGATATGTAAGAGTGTTCACTGCAAAATTCTTTCAGCTTTTGTGTTTGAAAACAAAATGGGAAACTTACTAAAGGAATAAGGCTGACAACACCTGAAACCACTGCTCAATCTTAATTTCAGAAAAAAGAAAAACAGTGAAACATTATCTGGATGTTCCTGATAGAAGTATCCATCACTCCTACAAAATATTTTTTTTGGGGGGGGGGGAATCAAACCAATCAAACCCAAATCTGATGAAATCTGTAGGTCTAACAGCAATTTTTTGGAAATAAAAAGACAAGGGGGCTGGGCATGGTGCTTCACACCTGTATTCCCAGCACTTTGGGAGGCCAAGGCAGGTGGATCACAAGGTCAGTAGTGAGACCAGCCTGACCACCATGGTGAGACCTCCCATCTTTACTATAAAATATCAAAAAAAATTAGCTGAGCGTGGTGGTGCACACCTGTAATCCCAGCTACTCAGGAGGCTGAAGCAGAAGAGTTGCTTGAACACAGGAGGCGGAGGTTGCAGTGAGCCGAGATTGCACAACTGCACTCCAGCTTTGGTGACAGAGCAAGACTCAAAAAGGAAAAAAAAAAAGACAAGAGAATATGTTAAACAATGAATTGTAAGGAAAAAGTTTTAACAACTGAATTATAAGGAAAAAGAAACAGAACCTATAGTTTGAGGGACAAGATATAAATTCAGAAAGTATGGAGCATATTATTCTAATCTTGATTCAAACAAATGTAAAAAAAATTATACATCTACACGTATTTATGAGACAATGGGGGAAATTAACACTAACAGAAAATGATGTATTTTATATCTGAGTGTAATAATGGTATGTTGTTATGCTTTTTTTAAAATGTCCTTATCTTTTAGAGATATGTGTTGAAATATTTTTGATGAAATGATATGATGTCTGAGATTTTCTCTTCAAGATAATATGGGCAAGAGTATCTTTGAAATAAGACTGGTCACAAGCTGGCCACTGTTGAAGCTGAGTAATGGGTATGTATGGGTATTTATTATATGATTATTTCTACTTTTATATTTAATTTTTTGAGATGGAGTCTCACTCTGTTGTCCAGGCTGGAGTGCAGTGGTGCGATCTCGGCTCACTGCAACCTTCGTCTCCTGGATTCAAGCGATTCTCCTGCCTCAACCTCAGAGTACCTGGGATTACAGGTGCCTGCCATCACGCCCAGCTAATTTTTGTATTTTTGGTAGAGATAGGGTTTCATCCTATTGCCCAGGCTGGACTCGAACTCCTGACCTCAAGTGATCTGCCTGCCTCAACCTCCCAAAGTGCTGGGATTACAGGTGTGAACCACCACACCTGGCCTCTACTTTTACATATATTTGAAATGTTACAAAATAAAAAAATTAAATGTTTAAAAATAGCATTTAATATTATTACTTGGAAAATGAATAACTTAATAAATCGAACACAAAACAAATTTAAAACAACATACCATTCAGATTTTAAAGTGAAGTTTGTCTCCAAGTGTGTTTCCCTTCCAGGATCCCACTGACACATCATTTTCTTTCCCTCATTCACAATGCAACTCAAATTTTCAGGTTTTTCTGGGGGCACTAAAAGAGATTGTTTTTCAAAAAGCGTTATATCCACAAATAGTATGCAATTTATATACTACCCAAGACATTTACAACCTAAATTAGATGGAAAAAAAAAAACAAACCCAAGCAAAAAGTATGGACACTATGAAAGGCTGGTAATGTTGTTAATTTCTTTTCTATCTAAACTCTTATACTTCTTTTTAGGCAGTAATACATATATATCCATCCTAACTGTCATTAACTGGTTTGTTTCATATTAATTTTCTACATAAAATCATCTTTCATTTATAACTGGATAAAAATATCAGCTGATTTCTCCATTAAGTGAATTTTTAAAGGTAATATTTATATATGTTTGTAAGAAGCAAAAATTATTCATTTATATTTATTTTCTTACTACGTTCCCTACTCTGTTGGAAGAAAAGCATATGCCAAAATTGTAAAGTCTGGGTGATCTACAAATTTAATAACCCACCTCTAGATCACAGTAAGTTTATTTTGTTTACTTTGTTACTCCAAGGCCAGGCGGGGTGGCTCACACCTGTAATCCTAGCACTTTGGGAGTCTGAGGCAGGTGAATCATCTGAGGCCAGGAGTTTTGAGAACAGTCTGGCCAACATGGCAAAACCCCATCTCTACTAAAAGTACAAAAAATTAGCCAGGCATGGTGGTTCATGCCTGTAGTTCCAGCTACTTGGGAGGCTAAGGCAGGGAGATCACTTGAACCCGGGAAGTGGAGATTGCAATGAGTTGAGATCATGTCACTGGACTCCAGCCTAGGCGACAGAGTGAGAGTCTGACACACACACACACACACACACACACACACACACACACACACACACACACACACAAAGGTTTACTCCAGTATTGATTTGCCTTCTTTATTTTTGGAGACAGGGTTTCACTCTTATTGCCCAGGCTGGAGTGCAATGCCATCATCTCAGCTCACCACAACCTCCGCCTCCCGGCTTCAAGTGATTCGCCTGCCTCAGCCTCCCAAGTAGCTGGGATTACAGGCATGCACCACCATGCTTGACTATTTTTGTATTTTTAGTAAAGACAGGGTTTCTCCATGTTGGTCAGGCAGGTCTCGAACTCCCGACTTCAGGTGATCCGCCCGCCTCCGCCTCCCAAAGTGCTGAGATTATAGACGTGAGCCACTGTGCCCAGCCTTTTTTGCCTTCTTCAGATAGCTGTTTTACATGTGAATTTTCTCAGCAATTAAGGGATATTGAGAGTTACCATCATAGATGTCAATTCAACAATACTTTCTTGTAGTGGGAGGGAGGGTCTCATGTCAAATATTTATTTAATAAACTGAAAACTGCTTGACTTTCAGGAAAGACAGGAGACTTGTATCACTCTTTAGGCTTTGGCACATTAATAATGGAAATGCCATTCCTACTTCTAAGCTTATTTTTTAAAAAACAAACATGTCCAAGTCACTAAGTCTACAAGTTACTACATTTTATAAAGATGAAAGGACATTATTAAAAATGCAGTTCAACAGTCATGACAATGCCTGAAGTAAGACAAAAACAAAACTTACAGCCTGAAATTACTGTGATTCCATAAACATTCTGTTCAAGCTGTCCAAATGTAAGAATGTTGCAAGTGAGCTGAATATTTAATGAAGCTATATCTGTAAAGGTGACACTGGATGCTGTTCTGTTTATGATAGCATATTGTTCCTTAGGAATAGTAAAATGGTTTGTTTTCCAGAAAATGTAATTCGCATTTACATGAAAATAATCCATACATTTTTCCTTTAGCACACAAACCGCAGTAAAATTAGAATGAAGTTGTACAACTGGAGATTCAGGACTGATATGACCACATGGATCTAGAAGTTCACCTAAAAAGGAACAACAGAAAATATATAAATAGACTGAATTTTTCTGGTACAAAATGATATCTAACTGGTAGCATTCAATGTAGAGTCCCTCAACCTTCACTAAAATATCCCTAAAGACACAGAAAAAGAATACACAACTGAAAATCAATATGGTTAGAATTTAATGCCTGAATTTGTAAAGAAATATGCAAATTAGGATAATGGAGCTGAATTAAGAAAAACCCATTCATGCTTTACCCCAAGGTATAAACTATTTCTTTAAGGAAACACAGACTACCTGCAGCATGATACATACTTGCCCCATGACCTATTCTGTCCCTCCATTTGGACCCCAGGTCTAAACTAAACTCTCCAGAAAATAGGCAGTGGTAGTCTCCTCTACAGTACTGAATGCTGTTGTGGAGTACTGTTGGGGTCACAGACAGACAGAATATATGTCCACACATCAAAACTCAAACATCAAAAGAAACAGCAAGGGACCAATACAAAACAGGAAGAATAAAACAAGGTGGCCAAACAGTTTAGTTTTAAGAATAAATGCATGGAGCTGCGTCTGGTGGTTTATGTCTATAACCTCAGCACTTTTGGAAGGCCGAGGCAAGAGGATTGCTTGAGCTCAGGAGTTTGAAACCAACTCGGGCAACATAGGGAGACGCCATCTGTACTAAAAATAGAAAAAAAATTATCCGAGCATGGTGATGCATGCCTATAGTCCCAGCTACTCCGGAGGCTGGAGGCGGGATGATCGCTTGAGCTCAAGAGGTCAAGGTTGTAGTACACCATTGCACTCCACCCTGGACAATGGATTGAGAATAAACACATGGGATAAGATCCCCTATTTAGAAACAAAGAATCAGCATGACCAACAGAGTGAAACCCTGTGTCTACAAAAATTAGCCGGGTGTCGTGGTGGGTACCTGTAATCTCAGCTACTTGGGAGTCTGAGGCATGAGAATCACCTGAACCTGGGAGGTGGAAGCTGCAGTGAACTGAGGTCAAGCCACGGCACTCCAGCCTGGGCGACATAGCAAGACCCAGTCTCAAAAAACAAACAAAACACAAAGAATCAGATCGGGTAAAAAAAATTAAACTATATGCTATACCTATCACCTAGTCCATGTTGATGGCATCTCAGTTCCCATCTCTAGCACTAACTCCTCCATGCTTTCAATAACCCATTAGACATATATTTACCTGAGATTTCCTGTAGCTATGTTTAAATTAGCATGTCCAAAATTATATGTATCACAATCTTTTCAAACTTGTTATTTTTCATTCTTACTTCTCTGCGTCTGCTAACAGCGCCACTCCCATCCAGACATCTAGGCCAGATACTCTGTAGTCATCTTCCAACCTCTCTCTCTAATTAGCCTCCACTAACCTCCAACTTAACAATATTGCACTTTATTCGTTCTATATTCTTAATATGCATATCAATCTCTTCTTTCCAATGAAATAAACCTTTGACTGCTGAAGCACAGAGCACTGTATTATTTATATCAGCCTGACCTCCTTCCAGTTTATCTTACATACTACTATCACAGATACTGTTCTAAAATAATTATGACATTTGTCTACATTAAATGATTTAGTGACTACCTATTATCAAGATAAAAGTCCCAACTATTTGACATGATTTTATTATTTTTCTGTAGCTTCAATGTCCACAATTTTAAGGTGGCTTTCCACAGTGAATCCTTTTTGCTGTGGGGTTCCTGGGTAGTTACCCATGAAGTCTTTTTGAGATTAAAAATTACCAGCCTGCTTGCCTGGGAAGGATATCAGAGGTCGAAGATCAACTCAATGAAATAAAATGAGAAGACAAGAATAGAGAAAAAAGGGTGAAAAAGAATGAACAAAGTCTCCAAGAAATGTGGGACTATGTGAAAAGACCTAATCTATGTTTGATAGGTGTACCTGAATGCGACGAAGAGGATGAATCCAAGCTGGAAAATACTCTTCAGGATATTATCCAAGAGAACTTTCCCAACCTAGCAAGTCAGGCCAGCATTCAGATCCAGGAAATACAGAGAACGCCACAAAGATATTTCTCAAGAGGAGCAACCCCAAGGCACATAATCGTCAGATTCACCAGGGTTGAAATGAAGGAGAAAATACTAAGGGCAGCCAGAGAGAAAGGTCGGGTTATCCACAAAGGGAAGCCCATTAGACTCACAGCAGATCTCTCAGCAGAAACCCTACAAGCCAGAAGAGAATGGGGGCCGATATTCAACATCCTAAAAGAAAAGAACGTTCAACCCAGAATCTCCTATCCAGCGAAACTAAGCTTCACAAGTGAAGGAAAAATAAAATCCTTTGGGAACATGCAAGTACTCAGAGATTTCGTCACCACCAGGCCAGCTTTACAAGAGCTCCTGAAAGAGGCTCTA